TCTGTCTTTCAAATGAGGACTGCAGTCCAGTTATTTTCTTGCTTTACTCTGGTGTTTTCCTGTTAGTTTCCATTATGTGTTTTGTTTTCATGCCTCTATGCTGCTTTTCTTATTTCTCTTATTTTGCTACACAGGTTGTATTTCCTTTATGTTTCTTCAGTGTTTTGGGGGAAAATGTATAAATTCTAGTAGTGGTTACATTATATTCTTCATCCGCATTTTTAACTTGTATTTTTCTAATCATCAGAGTCAAGAATGACATACTACCTTTTTTTTTTGGAGGAGGGTAGGTAATCAGGTTTATTTATTTCTCTTAATTCTTTTTAATGGAGGCACTGGGAATTAAACCCAGGACCCTGTGCATGCTAGGCACACACTCTACCACTGAGCTATACCCTCCCCTAGAATGACACACTACTTTTTGACTCCTTTAGTGATGAAGAATACTCCATTTTCCTTTGTTTCTCTGATATACTTCCCGACTTTTGGTAATGTCATAGTGGGGGCCATTGTTATTTGTATTTTAATATTAAGTTAATACTTAATGTGTGATAATGATTAAATATCTCCAAAATAATTTTGACTTAATACTCAGTTGTATAATCATGTTTATAAAAAGTATTTAAATTCAGTTCCCGGGCTGGGACAGGGTGAGGTGAATGAGGCATTTACCATGAACACACTTTTAAGGGTGCCAAAGTAATTAAGATGAACGATGTGGGTGTTTTTGTTGTTGTTTGGTGTTTTTAAAAAAGTATTTCTTCCTTTAAAAAATCAAAAAAAAATTGGGGGGAAGGGGAGGTAATTAGGTGTTTGTTTATTTATTTATTCATTTATTTATTCTAATGGAGATACTGGGGATTAACTCAGGACCCCATGCATGCTAAGCATGTGCTCTGCCACTGAGCTGTACCCTCCCCTGCTAAGATAAATGATATTTTAATGCAATATTTTTAAACCAAAATTAATGCCAAAAAATCCAGGATGAACAAAACATTAAAGTCTTAAAGAAAGACAGGATTTGACAACTTGAAGATCAAGTGAGGCTGAGGCCCTTAAGACGTGTTTTGGGGGCATTAATTTTAATGTAAAAATATTATGTGAACGTATCATTGATCTTGATTACTGAGTGTCTCAGTGCCTCTTTAAATTTTCCCCTGAGACAGGTGTCTTTTTACCTCCCTTTTATAGGTCTTCACCAGTCTTGAGTTCCTCATTCTGCCTCTTGCCTCTTTCCTTCATATATCGGAGTATGTCCTCAAGTCGTTCTTTTCCCCCAGAAGGTAGACTATTTTCTGAGTCTCTGCAGTGCGGCTGAGAAGGTGTACAGAGTAGAGTTTAAGGATCTGGGCTCTGGAGCCAGGTGGCCTGGGTTTTCTTTCTTTTCTTTTTTTTTAATTTTTTTTAATATTTATTTCTTTTTAAATTTAAAACCAATTTTTAATAGTGGTATTGAGATGGGACCCAGGAGGACCCCGTACATGCTAAGCATGCGCTCTCCCACTGAGCTATTACTGCCCCCACCTCCCCAGATTTTAATCTTTACCACTTAAACTTGCTGGCTGTTTGTGCCTCCCTTTCTTTATCTGTCAAGTGGACATACAATAGTAGGACCTACCTCACGGGTTGTCATTAGGATTAGATGAGTTAACACACGTCAACTGCATCTGGTAGTCCCTGACACCCAGCAGGAGCTTAGTACAGGCTGATTCTTTTTCAGAGGAAAGATAATTTGCCTGAAGACAAGCGTAGCCCACCAGCCCCGCGCCCACCCCCAAATCTGTAGACTTTCTTGTGCATTCTTCTCTTCATCTCTTCACCTTCTTCTGACATTTAGTGTGGTAGCAAAATCCAAGACTAGCTTGATTTTCTTTTTTTCTCCCTTTAAGTCAAGTCTAACTTTTCTGCCTAAATGATTGGAAAATTTTTCTCCCAGTTTTTCTTACTCGAAAATGTTGCCAAGCTTCATGAGTGAGGCATTCATTATACTACTCAATTTTTTTTTTTAAGTGGAGGTCCTGGAGATTGAACTCAGGACCTTGTGCTTGCTAACCATGTGCTCTACCACTGAGCTATACTCCTCCTGCTATAATATTCTATTTTTGCGTGTGTTTGAGATTTCAGTAATGAAAAGCCTAAGAAAGGATGGCCAAGCTGTGTCTAGATGTGAGTCGTTTCCCACTGATGTTGCTAGAATGTGCTGTTTCAGCAGGATCCCCACTCTCTCCATCTTAGGTGGTGTTTACTTCTGTCATTGCTTACTGTTCCTGTTCCGTTGATCTGATCAGTATCCTTTAGGGTCTCTGTCATGTATCTCCTCTGTTGTCTTCCATCTCCTTCTACACCTCTGCCTGTTTTCTTCTGCTCTCTGTTCTGCTTTCATAGAGGCTACTTTATTTTGTACTGTTGTGAGGGTGCAGCTTGCCTGCTCTTTTCTCTGACACCTTATGTTAGATTATGTTACATTAAATTTCAGGGATTATTGTTCCTCTCAGCCTTCGGAGTATCTTTCTGAGGATACTGTTTCTTTTCCCAAGCGCTATACAATCCTTTTCATTCAGTCTACGTTAGAATTTTCCTCCTTCATCCTTACCCGAGACAGGTCTCTGCAGGTTCCCAAACTGGTGGTCGGTGATTAGAGGAGCTGGACTGGTCTGAGATGGGGTTCTACCCTGTCCTCACTCACAGATTCTTTGCATCCATAGAGTCTATGGAAAACTACATTTCCCAGCATGCACTGCCACTTTCACTCTTCCCCACCTGGACCTGGTCTTTGTCTATCTGAGGATGCTGTGTATCCCAGCCAGGCCAGACTCTGCTTCCTGCCCCATTGTCTCCTGGTTATTATCTCTGAATGACGGTATATGCAGGGGAGGGAGGGACAGAGTTGATGTGGGAGTGATGGAGGGAACTCTGTCCTGATTGCCTGGGAGAGCAGATTTCATTTTCCCCCTAGTGCTTTTTAAGACTTCCTAATTACTCTAGAGAACATTTACTACTTGAGTAATACAATAAAAAATTTTAAAAAGTACCACTCCTTCATTTATGAGACAGCTGCCCGGTATTTAAGATCGGAATCCAACTTTAAGTCTCTGAGCAGGATTTGGTCAGCAGGACAGGTAAGAAGTATCCTTCCACCTTTCTTGCAGCAGATTCTAGGGTCCTGAGCCCTGGGTTGGTTTTCTCAGTCCCACTCCATCTGCCTTATTATTTATGGGGTGTCTTCCCAAGTCTGTCCTCAGCTCATCCCTCAGCCTCTGACTAGTGTTGTGAGTTTTTACCGTTTTAAAAATGACATCAAAGAGTGGTATTTGAATGCCTGTTTTTGCCATTGAAAAAAAAAGTGTGGTAAAATACAGAAAGTTTGCCATCCCAACCACGTTTAAGTATACAACTTGGTAGTGTTGAATACATTCGTATTATTGTGCGATCAGTCACTAGAACTCTTTTCATCTTGCAGAACTGAATTCATTAAACAATCACTCCCCACACCTGATCCCCCTGCGCCTCGCAACCACTGTTCTACGTACACTTTTCTTGAAATTCACCATCTCTGAGAGTCCCCATGGTCCTTCATTCGTTCGGCACAGGTTTAATGAGCACACCCTCCTAGACTGTGTTCTAGTTTTAGGGACGGAACGCTGAACAAAGGCAGTATTATCCCTGTTTTCAAGGAGCTGACTTTCTAGAGGGAAGAGTAGGGCAGACAGTGAACAGATAAACACAGTGAGTTCAGATGGTGTAAGAGCTGTAGGAATAAACCGGTGTGACGAGTGCCTTGGCAGTGCTGCTTTGGCCAGCCAGGTCCCCAGGGGCCTCTCTGAGCACGTGATGTTTGAACTGACCCCTGGATTTTCAGGGGAAACCCCCTCCCCTGTGTAGAGGAACCGAAGGATGGTGGTCTGAGCAGGGAAACAGCCCTCACAAAGGCTCTCGTGTGTTTGAGGAATGGAAAACACACAGCCTAGCTGGAACCTCGTCAGTCCCAGGGAGAGAACTGGGCAGCTAAAATCCAGGCCTTCAGACTGTGTTCCAGTTGCAAGGAGGAGCCACTTGAGGCTTCTAAGCAGCAGATTTCTGTGCTCTAACACTTGGCATTAAAAAAAAAAGTTTTGCATAGAGTATGCTTGGGTTGGTTAAGAATGCAGAGGCTACCCAACACGCACAGGCACGTCCACAGCCCTCTCACCGGCCTCTGTTATTTCATTTCCATCAACGAAATAGTCCTCCAGGTGTTAAAAGTTAGGGATACCTGTAGCTCTTCCTTGGAGTAAATCCAGTGAAAAGGCTGAGGGCTGTGATTACTTATGGATGGACTATCTGAGATGCAGAAGGGGAGCTGAGTTCTAGTTCATGCGAGGTGGTCTGCCCTGGAGCCGACCTGTTCTTCATCACTCACTCCTACTCTTAGGTTGAGAACAGACTCTCCAGACTCAGCTGAGTTTGAGACCAGTTCTGACTCCGGTGGCAGCATTGCCATCTACCTCCGATGACTCCTGCCTCACTTAGTAAGCATCTGTCATAATCCATGATTCTTAAAAAATCAACAGGAGAGTTAGCAAGTCTTTTTTTTTCTCCCTAAGCATTGAAAGAAGATCAGAAAGATGCTTTATGAACACTAATCTGGTGACCCCAAAGTGTTTTTGCTAGAATGGCATGACCACATCCATCCTTAGTGGTGGGACTTCCTGACGCTGGCCACCTCTAATGATGGGGCGGTGTCATGTGGTCACACTACAGGTGTCTTTTCTCCACTGTGGTCATTGTGTCAGCTGACATTCAGACTGTATTTTGAGCAGCCTGTAGCTGAGAAAGTTCAACCTTTGTTTTTTATTGTAAATATTTAAAAGTATTCTTCAAAAGTTCAAAAGTAAAAACCCATTTCAGAAAATAGGGCCTTGGGAAAAAGTGAATTCTGTCTGTCCAAGGGCAGGGAGAGACAGCCTTTGGTGGTTTGGATATGGCTGTGATGCAGAGATTAGTTTATAAGTAGGTGATCTGGTTTTGCGCATGTCAGTATTGTAGCCAGTGAGGTTTATCTGAGGTGCAATTATTGTTATTTGAAAACTTTTCCCAATGTCCTGCCACGATGACTTGAAATATAGTCAGCATTGGCAGCTTGTGACAGTCTCTACAGAGAGAAAAATAAACAGATAATCCAAATCTACACTTTGTACGCCCTACAGATCAAGTTCCACTTAAATCCAGCACGGTCTCCTGAAAAATTGGGTCCCCTTCAGGTCAGGCTCCTTCCACAGCGAGATACGGAGATTTCTTGAGCTCTAAATGTGTAATTTGGAAAATACTTGGCATCATTCTAGGTCTTTATTTCAGAAAGCATCCTGGGATGGCACGGGCCCAAGTCACATTCCACAGAGCAGCTGAAAAACGGGACACTTGGCTCTTTGCCATCCGCCAGTTCCAACATAACCTGGGCCATTTTACCAAACTCCTCTGAGGACGAACAGACCTTCCCGCCGGAGCCGGAGGTAAGCTCGCCGTCCTCTCCTCGCACTGCCGCGGCTTGTGTTGGCGCTTGTTTGGAAATAGAGGAATTATATTTGTAACTTGCTCCTCTCTTGGTTTTAAGAGGAGACTCACACTGTGAAGCGGAAGCATTGCCCGGAGAGACAAAATCAGCTCTGCGCTCGCCGGGCACTTCTGGTCCTGTGCCTGGCAGCTGCCGTGGGCAGACTGTGATCCTCCCCACGGGGCGTCTCCTCTTTCCCTGAAATGGGAGTCACTGTAACGTCAAGAGGGAGAAATTGGAACACAGCCGTTACCGTGATGCCCGTTGAGGCGATGGGAGCAGTTACAATATATCCCCTGGATGATGGCTTCTCCATGTGGTTGTGCTCACCTCAGCTCCTGCCTCACACGCTCGATTCCTGCATGCTGCAGAGCCGGGCGAGGCCCAGGGGCAGTGGCTGGGACTCTACCCCTAGGCGGTGCCCTGCAGCCCAGGTCCAGGCTGCGGGTACCAGGGAGGAGCGGCCCTGCAGACCTTAGTGGCCAGCCAGGCCCCCGCCGGCTCCGTGGAGCCCGTCATCTGCCCGCACGATGCTCCTTGACTAGCCGTGCCTCCGAGTGGCAGCTGGAGGGAAGCAGGTGCTGCCTGCCTCTTGTCAGTGTCCCCTTGTGTCACGCGCAGATGTTTGTGTTGTCTCTTTTGATGCACGTGTCCTGGTGACATGATCTCGTGAACCGGGCTGGGACCTCCTTTCGCCATAGGTTGTTCTTGAATTTCCATTGAAATCGCTTTAGCTTGGAAACTGTAGAACACCCCCAGATCTATTTTGTAAGGTTGAAAACCCAACGCAGCTTCTTCCATCAAATGGTCTTGATGATCCATTGAAATTGTCCCCCAAGCTTTACGGGATTATAGGCTCTGATGGTGCCTTGGTGGTTTGGGTCTTACAGAGGCAGGATCAGCCCCCTGCAGGTATTCCGTTAGCATCTCTAAGGTGCCTTTGCAGGGTACGAAACCACAGGGGAGGTGAGATTTTGAAGTGCATTTGCCTCGCCTGTACACGGAGTTTCAGGTGGAAAACACTTGGAGCTGATGTGTAGGTACATTGGGAGGTAATTTGGTGACTGGGAGAGAAGTCGGAGCCTTGTTGTCACCTAGCTCTTTGGAAAGACTGGGGGGGTGACATTTGAGGATGGGTGCTTCCCTGCTAAGGGGTTAACAATACAGTCCCTACCATCCCCTTGGAAGGGGACCTATGGGAGTTCACGCCATAATATACATGCTTATGTATATTAATATATATATTAAGATATATTAATATATCTTGCTCTGGAGAGAAATTAAAGAAGAAGTTATTAGATCTTTAGAAATAATTGTTTAGCTCCTCCTTCCTCCCAGTACAGTAACGGGCAAAACCTAACAGGAGCTGTAACCTAATCAGCTTATCGTTTGGACTGGCGAGTGTCCCCATTCTGAGTCCTTTGTAGTGTTTCTTTCACTTTTCACTCACGTGCTTCCTTTAACCCTAAAGTTTCAGAGCCCAGATCTGTTCTTTTTATAGAAAATTGTTGCCCACTTTGCTTTGCTGATTAGTAGCATTGGCGGAAGATAGTATATAATTGTCCATGAGAAATAACTAGCTCCCAAGTTCAACTTCTTAAAAAATACCTTGAAGGAGGAGAACTAGGGAGAGCTTTTTTTCCCCCTCTTAAGTTAGGAACAGTCATTAATTTCTGGTTGTCATTTTGGCTCTTACTCCTTTTGTCAGAGAATTAGAAGATATTGTCTGGGAGGAAGGTATAGTTCGGTGGTAGAGCACATGCTTAGCATGCACGAGGTCCTGAGTTCAATACCCAGCACCTCCATTAAAAATACATATATATAAATAAATAAACCTAATTACCCACCTCCCCCCCATAAAAAGAGAATTGAAAAAAGGAAACTTAAAAAAAAAAGATAAAAGAAGATACTGTCTGGAAATCCCTTAGAGCAGTGGCAGTGAGAGACTTCCAGGGTGTGAGGGTGCGTGATGGTTTTCTGAGAAGGAAGGATTGGAGTCCTTTTGCGAAAAATTCCCTCATTTTTTCCAGTGACAACTCTGGTAGATGATTCTCCCAGCCCAATAGCTAGTGTTGGTTGGAATCTCTTTATTTTAGGCCATTGTGCTTTGTCACATTTTTTCCCTTTGTCATAGGATTTGAAGAAACTAGCAGTAGCCACACAGTAGTTTTCCTTTCAGAAAAAGAAAAATGTTTCCTTTCCTCCTTTTTACAATTTGGAGACATAACCCAAGAAGGAGTGAAGTGAAATTCCAAAAGGCTAAAAATTCCTCAAGAGAAGTTTCCCTGTCCCTTTTGATGTAGAGAATACAGTTACTCTGTGAGTGATCATTGGGAGACTAAGGATTGTGGTACTTTAGCTGAATAAACTGTTTTCTTCGGGTTTATTGTTTTGATTATGTTAGGTCTTTAGGAGCATAATACCTCAGTCTGGTGTGTGTATTTTTTTTTAAATATCATCAAGCAATCAATCCGTTTCTCATTGGACACAGCCTGGGTGTCCTACAATTTAACTCAATTCTGATACTGTGTACCTGGAGATGTCATCAGATCCCACAGGTTCAGGACTGCCCCGCCAAGCCCCTGCCAACTTCAGGTACCAACCACGAATCCAGGTTGTCACCCATGCTTCCGAGTCATCCAGCTGTGGACTAGGGGTTTCCCATGACCTCCTCTTCAGGTTTGGTGAATTTGCTAGAGTGGCTCATAGAACCTAGAGCAAAATGTACCAGTTTATTACAAAAAGACGTAATTCGAGAGCAGATGGAATTGATGCCCAGGGCAGGGTCTGTGGGAGGGGGCGGAGCTTCCATGACCTCTCTGAACTCATCACTCTCCCCCCACTTCCACCTATTCACCACCCAAAAGTTCTCTAAACCCGGTGCCTCTGGGTTTTATGGAGGCTTCCTTACAGAGGCATGATTGACTACATTCTTGGCCACTGGTGATTTAACCTCCAGCCCCTCTCCCCTCCCCAGAGGTCAGGGACTGGGACTGAAAGCTCCAACCCTCTAATCACAGGGTTGGCTCCACTGTCTCCCATCCTTAGGTGACCAAGGGGCTTTCCTAAAGCCACTCATTAACAAGACAAAATACACGTTTATCTCTCTCAACTCTTCGGAAATTCCAGAATTTCCAGAGGAAATTCTGACCTCTGTGCCAGAAATGGGGACAAAAAGCAAATATACATTTCTTGTCATAAATCACAGCATCACACTCCCCTCCCCTGGTCCTTGCTTACCATGAAATAACACACAGGTGTCTGGAAAATGAATGCATTTTCAAGCTTAATCTGTTTAATTCCCCAAAGAGTAGAACTCAAAGACCAGCAAGTTTTTAACACATAAGCTAGAAGAAATTGTGGTTGGCTCTGTTATCAAAAGCAGTGATCTCAGAATTATATTCTGTTGGGGCTGGAACTAACTAAATGTGAAAATGAGATATTCTCCCATAATGAAATGAGTTAGGCTCTTGGTTTTCCCTGTTGGTAGACCAATATTTCAACTCTTACCACTGTCTGAAATGCAAATTTAGACTGGAAAAGGTTTTTTTTGTGCTTTCGTTGTTGAAGAAGGCCTTGTTTCAGGACAGAGGGACAGTGGGCCGGCTCTCTGGACCTCCGCCAACTGTCTGGATTGGAAACCTGACAGCTCAATTGGACATCCCAGGCTTTCCCAAGGCGACGTCCCTAAATGCATGACAGTTTTATCAGTGCGCTTGTGTGAGGTTTGGAAGCTGGAGACCAGATTCCTTCTGCTGGTGCTGCTGGCAGATGTGAATGTTGGAGGCATTTGTTGTGACCAGAGTCACTGTCCTAGGGTCTCGGTCCTCACTGGGTTGGCGTGAGAGAGACTGTGGTGGCAGGAGCCGTGGCATCTTCTAGACACTTGGATCAAGGCTGCCTGCAATGATGTGCTCCTGTGTTAAATCTGAGGGTGGGGCAGTATAGCTCAGGGGTAGAGTGTGTGCTTAGCATGCATGAGGTCCTGGGTTCAATCCCCAGTACCTCCATTAAATAAATAAGTAAGGAAATAAATAAACCTAATCCCCCCACCAAAAAAATTATTTAAAAAACCAAGAAATTTAAAACTAAAATCTAAGGGAGAGTTTTCTTCCTCCAGACCAGTGATTCTGTGAGCACCTAATTCCCTTTCTGATTGAAATACCTGGAGTGGCTTCTGTTTCCAGCACCAGGTCCAGACTGGTGGGGCTGTGGGAATGAGAGAGCTGAGGGTGACGTGGGGACCGTCCTGTGTGACCTCCCATGGGTCACCATGTATACCTACCTTTCTGGAGGATGTATCTGAGGGACAGAAACCTTAATTTGTCTTCAAAGTCAGGTTTACTGAGGTATAATTCAGAAATAATACATTCTGCCCCCTTTAAAATGTAATTTTATCACTTCTGTACTTTGTTGAATGAGTTCCATCACTTTCCATGATTCCCTTCTGTTTAACAACCCCCCCCAGCCCTTGGCAATCGCTGATCTGTTTTCTGTCCATGTAGTTTTATCTTTCCCAGAATCCCTTTACGTGGAATTATGCCATTGTAGGCAGAGTCTGACTCTGTGCAGCAGCCTTGGAGATTCACCTGTGTCGTTAGGTTGACTGGTGATTGGTGTCCTTTGGAGTCAGACTTTGTTTATCCACTCACCTAGTGAGGATCATTTGTAAGCTTTAAAAACTTCCTCAAATCTCCCACAGGTAAAACAGAAAAGAGGGGGCATTTAAAAATAATATTGCGTGAATCACTGGGGGCAAATATTGGGTGCCCAGAGGGAGGAGATGGAAAGTGAGTCGTGTGAACCCCTCCACTAGCACCCTCAGCAGGGGTTCATGGAGCTGGGTCTCAGGAGCACACTCAGCTCCGATCAACCCTGGGTTGACTGTTTCAGTAGAAGACTTTGCCTGGTTAATTGTCGGAATTGCAGTGGCAACAATACCATCAGGAGATCACATGC